AACTATTGTATATCTCGATTGTGGTGATGGTTACACATCTGTATATAATGATTAGAATTCATCCAATTATATACTTAAAATGGATGGATTTTATTCTATGTCAATCTGAGACTGGTCTGTGAACAGTAAGTAGCCACTCAGCCCTAGAAATTGATAATTGTGTCATAAAGAAGCAAGTAAGGTTATAGAAGTAGGACAATTGAGCTGTTTATGTGTTTGGGTTTTTTAAATCCCAAGAAACTTTTAGAAAATATTGACAGAATTGTTCGGTCAACACCCATGTTCCCACTACCTAGATTCTAGTGACCATTTTGCTATTCGCTTTATCGCGCATCTGTCCATCCTTTTGTTTATCTCTCCATTCATATTTTTCCTGCTCGTCAAGGTCAGTTGCAGATATTAGTCCCATTCATTTGTTTTTTAAAGTTGACTTTTTGTTGAAGTGTAACACACGGGCATGGAGAAAATCATGACGTAGGCGTGACTGATGAAGTCACTGGCCATTGGTGTTGCGGGTTGGTCTCCTGCTCCTCTCCCCAGAGATTGGGGCGGGGAGTTGGGGCTGAAAGTCTCAACCTTCTAATCATGCCTTGGTCTTTCTGACAGCCAGCCCCCATCCTGAAGCTGTCAGGAGACCCCGGTCACCAGTCATTAACATACAAAAGGACACTCTTATCAGTCCTAAGATCCCAAGGATCCTAGAAGTTTTTATGTCAAGAACCGGGGGCTAAAACCATAAAAGAAGATGTTTCTATCTCCCCTGTCATTCAGGAAATTACAAGGGTCTTAGGAGCTCTGTGCCAGGAATTGCGGGCAGAGACCAAATATATGTTTTTTATTATGTCACACAGCTGTGTCTATTCATTTACATACTGTCTGTGGCTGCTTTCTGCTACGATGACAGAGACTATAGGTGGCCCTTGAAACCTAAAATATATACTATTTGGCCCTTTATGGGAAAAGGTTGCCTACCCACGAACTAAAGTAGCACCTCTGGGCTCTCTTTCGTTCATTTTATTATTTGATTTATTCTCTTCTGTTTTTCATCCACTCCTCCCAGGGAGAACCGACTGTGTCATTAGGAGCTTGGCGAGTTTGTATCCAGAGGTCCTCGGTCCTCTGTGGGTTGGGATTGGGGTGTTAAGTTCTCCTGACCCTCCTCCGCTCGCTGGGACCCGCCTGCCCACAGCAGGCAATGTTCTGTCTCACTCCGTCGTTGGTGAGCCTGCTGGTCAGGCTCGAACCTGCGGGGACAAGGCCTGTATGGTTTTTGGTCAGTGATGTTTAATTCGAGGAGATCAAATAGTGAGGTCACATCCTTTCTACAAGGCAGCTAACTCACCGAAATCCAACTGATATTTTGATATGCGACTAACAGTATATCTAACCTGACTTTCCCTGAGAATCACCTTGGGAGCATTTGAAAACCACTCAGTAGACTCTCTCGGGGTGTGACCCTAGCTCTGGTATTTATAAAAAGTCTTCCAAGTGTCAACCAAAAAACCTGAGAGACAATCATCAAACAAAAAGTATTTATTTGGGATCGAAGGGATTGCAATTCGGGCGTTACAGATCCAGGCAGAAGCCCAAAGAGTGTCCCCTCCTACAGGAGAGGGATTCAGGGTTTTTATGAGAAAAAGGAAGGAAGATGAAGTAAGTCGTATTAAGGAAGAGTTCGTTCGTGCCTGATGAGGTGGGGTGAGATTTGCACTTCACAGATTGGCTTGAGGTTTCCGTCATTAGGCAGAGGGCTAGATTCCTCCTTCATTGATTGGTTAGCGATTTGGTCACAGCAAAGTCCTTTTTCCTCGGCCCTTACAAATAGGATATTTTCATTCTTACTGACTTCTTACAGGGTTGGCAGTTTGGTCCAGTTTGGAAAATCAAGAAAATAAGATGTGCAGGCCAGTTCCTCTGAAATGGCTACTTGGCTCTGTTTTAATACGGTTCCTCTCATTTTTCCCAGGAGCGATTTGCATGTTCATGGTATTTTTACTTTATTTTCTCGATTATTTTAGAAGATGGAGGGGGGAAGATTTGATCGCCGATCCCCCTAAAGCTTCAACAGGTGTCTTGTAACTGGTTCCAAAGACAGTGTGTAGGTAACATGTTCCCCAAAGCAAAAGCAATGCCAGCCTCTCTTATAAAAACAAATGTGCAGAGACAGTCCTGATTCAGATGTGTACATTTTGGTGATTCGTGTAGAAACAAGCACATTACTGTACAGTCACACTTTAAATGCTTCCTCCTAGACGGTGTGATTCACACACAGATCTGAAAGTGAGTCTTCACCCCATATGTCGGCTTCATAAACGCTGTCCGCATGGCTCAGCTTCCACACAGAGGCGTACAGACGTGGTCCCAAGGAGTTTCAAAAGAAATTTCGATCTTGGTTTCTATGTCTTAAGGAAGGAGAAAGAAATCTAACCTGGAAGTCACAGCAACAGTTCTCAGAAGCCCTTTCCTCCACTCGCCAGTTCTCTCTCGCCCTGATTTGTTCTGGAATTTCACCCGTCAGGCTCTCGCACCCCCTCCAGCTCAGCCGAGGCGATGTCCCTACTTCCCTCTCTCCAGGTCCCCCAGCTGTTTCTCCCTATCGATTTTCATAGCCTCTCAGGTCTCGGTGACTTTCCTTGGTGACAGAGGAGAAGGCGGAGGAGGAGGTATTAATGGAGAGAAACTGTCATACACGCTTTTCCCTTCAGGCAGGGTTACTCAACCCGGACACTTGTTGACATTTTGGGCCAGGTACTTCTTTGTCGTGGGGTTGGCTTGGTGCATTGTAGGATGTTTAGTAGCATCCCCCGGCCTCTGTCCACTAGATGCCAATCGCGCCACCACCCCGCCCCTGTTGTGACAATCCATATGTCTCCTGACATTGCCAAATTTGAGGGACAAAATTGGTCCCTGCCGAGAACCGCTACGTTAAAGGAATTCACCATGTCGGTCTAAGCCAGAATTGCCGATAGACCTGGAGCCTGTATCTTCCTTTCTAGATCACCTCCTAGCGCTGGAATCCCAGGATTCCCCACCCGAATGACCCAGGCTGGTTTCCAGGCCTGCTCGGGGCTCTCCAGGCCCATCCTCAGGAAGGTGGGTGTGATGCCAGCGTGTGTCCTCTAGGCCCAAGGGAATAATAGCGGCACTTACCTGGTAGAGTCGTGTAGATTAAACGCACGTGATAAACACTATGTGTTGGTGCTGCTATTATTTTGTTCATATCAGTGGTCCTTAAACATAAGACGACTTCCGTGTCTGCTGCCTGCTTGATCAGGCAGCCGTCCATTCAGACGTCGGAGGCGAGCCCGACTGTGCTGGGCCCTGGAGAGTGGGTGTGGAGGTGTCCAGCATGGCCCCTGCACGAGGGCTCGTTGAGGGCCTTTCTCACTGTTGGCCCCTTGTGCTTTGCATGCCGGCTCGAGGATCTCACTCCCCTGCAGGTTCGCAGGTGCAGGTACCTTGTCCTTGTCACATGTCAGGCTCAGTGGGAGGGGGGCATGGGTAAGACTTCTTTCTGAGATGGGAGGAGGAGAAATGATTCTGAGCTTCGCATTTCAGTTCTCGCTGTGCCGTGGACTGGCCGGGGGACCTTGGGCCCTGAGACTCTTAACCCTCTGAGCCTCTCATTCCCCGTCTGCAAAATGGGGGTGTAAATAAATATACCTTCCCCAATAGGATCGTGGTGTGGGTTAAGTCAAAAATGTATATAAAATGCTTTGCTCGGTGCCTCGTTTACAGAACTCAGGATTCGCGATTGCCGATTTTTAATTATTATAATACCGTTATCTAAATTATCCTTATGACTGTTGGAAGAAAAAAACATGGAAAAAGAAAGTTCTGTCCGAGCAGCTGCTATGAATCACAAAATGAGCCAGGAAAGCTTGAAAAACATCACCCTTAAGTCGTAGATGAAACTTCTTAGAACCAAAGAAATGTCGGAGCTGAAAGGGGCCTTAAAACCTGCCTGTATCCCCCCGCCCCCCGTTGTATAACTGGGAAAACTGAGGCCTAAGGAAGGAATATGATCGACTTTGTTTTGGAAAAAAACCTGAAACAGCTTCTAGGTTTCAGAGAGAAGAGGAAGAAGGAGAGAACTCTACGATACAGTGTGAAGAAGCTTTGCAGAAGTTGAAAGAGAAAGGGTATCACCTTTGTCGTGCTGTCAGAGCTGGCCTCTGGGGAATAGGGGGGAATCGGGGCTGTGTAGACTGCTTTGGGGCTCCCCCAAGGGTTGAGATGACTCATGAACGTGCTGATGAAGTGTGGGGATCCCTCTGGGTGAGGAATTAGGGAGGGCTGAGAAACGGCCCAGGATGGGCTTAGGGCATCTTTTCAGAAATGGGGACAGCACCGAGAGGTGGATTATGGGTGACAGTGATGAGGTGGGGTTCCAGCCACGGTCTGGGGGCACCTCCGCACAGTGCTGTCGGTCTCATAGCTGAATATGGGGGCATCACCTCGTGAACCAAACATGCAAAACGGGGAGCCCGTCACGTCTGCTCCCGTTGGTAAAGATCGAGATTCTTTTCTTCTTCCTTTTAATTTGCAGTGTTTATCACACCCACACTCTTAAGTCATCCGGCTTCCCTTCCAAGACTGTTTTGGCAAACCACATTCGCAACCAAAAGGGTTTAGCTCTTGCGAGGAAGAACAAATTCATTGCCATAGCAAATATCAACATGTGAAAGACTCAACTTGTCCATGACTCACGCAGGGCAACGGGACCTGAGGCCTCAGTCTCCCCACCTGCAGCACGGGCGATAGCAGCTCCCTTGGAGCAGTTGGTTCTCAGTGGGGTCGGGGAGATCGTGCTCCCAGCGGGTATTTGACAACGTCTGGAGATGCTTTTGGTTGTCACGGCTGGGGGAAGGGTACCTAGCGGGCAGAGGCACCAGAGGTGTTGCGAAGCATCCTACGGTGCTCAGAACAGCGGCCGACAGCCCAGAATGGGGAGTAACAGTGCTTTATTAAGCACCTTCTGTGTGTATGGCCCAAGGCTAAGCACATCCTGTGGATTCACTCAGTCCTCACATCTGCCTTCTGGTTGAGGCTTCTTACCGTAATGACATGTGACAGCATGCTGACATTTTGGGCCACATCATCCTGTCTGTGTCCACGGATAGGACGTGGGCTCTTAGATAAGATGCGAGGTGCCCTCTTCCTGGGTTTTGTACACGGGCTCGGTGCTGTCCTGTTTTTGGCCACCCTGCGATTGTTCGGGCCGAGACGTCACTTCCTGATGACTAGGGCGCACTGGAGTATGTACATTGTCCGGCAATGTTCTAGTGACTGCAGTCAAATGAGTCCCCCCGTAACAGCCATTGGGGGGCTATTTGGGGTGCCTTCCAACATTCTTAGCTGTCATTGTTTCTAAAGAGGCGGGATAAGGCATCTAGTTGGGAGGCATTTGCTTCCTTTGCTGGCCTCTGGGGGCTGGGGGGGAATCGGGGAGGTGTAGGTTATTTGCTGCAGAGACTGTGAGCTTTACCAGCAGCCAACTAGCTCAGTGACTTGGTTTCTGTATCTATGAAGTAGAGGAGGCGCCAGGGGTCCCCGGCCTCGTGTCCCCGAGCCCCTGTCTGGATTCTGTACGGATCCATTCCCTGTTCTTCAGCCTGAGACACCCCAGGATTGACAGCAATGGCAAATCTTGATCCTCTTCCAGGCAACTTTTCTAATAGAACTTATTAGTTTTATTCAGCTTCAGCTTATTACAATTTGCATTTTAAGTGTTTGGTTTTTAAAAGACCGTTAAGATTGCCATAACTGTTACCAAGTGATTTGCAAGTGCCTCGCCTGCCAATTAACTCAGATGGCCACAGCAGCCACTGCTTCCCATTAGAAAAGGCTGAATCACTCAGGCGCTCCCACCTTCCGAGGGCCGAGTGATTCACTTGCCAACTTTCTTTGCAAATTGGGATAAGGAGCGTAGGCTATTACACTTCCTTTAGCCTTCTTCCCCTTCTGGCAATTTAGATGTGGTTTCTCTAATAGCAACTTATTTTTTTCCCTTTGTTTTCTTTCCAAAATAATATGCGCTTGCTGTTAAGAAGTTTAAACTGTACATGCTTATATAACACAAAAAAGCAGACAGTTCCTCAGTTTCCCCTCCCTAGAGAGAGCCACTCGCTCTTAATAGTTTGGCGAACATTCCTCCAGACACTGTTTTCTAGTTTATATATTAATATTTTTTAACAAAAAGATTGTTTACATGTACTGTTTTGCAACTTGCTTTTGTCTCCTGGCAATAAGTCTTGGAGATTTTTCCATTTGTATATATAGGTCTGTTCTCATTTTTAACAGGGACATTGGTTTCCATGGTATTGTTACATCAGGGACCATCTAATTAGTCCCCTCCTAAGACAATGACTCGGGTGTAAGTAGGCTACCAAGAAGGTGAGCCCAAAAGCACCGATCAGGGAGCACACAGGAGGCAGGCTGTTCGGGGCATCGATGAAGGAAGGGGAGCTGCAGCTCAGGAGGTCCCTAAGACCACCATCAGGTTCAATGATTCACCAAGACTCACTGAACTCACAGCTGTCACACTCATGGTTATAGTTTATTCCAGCAAAAGGATACAGACTAAACTCAGCGAAGGGAAAAGACACGTAGAGCAGAGTCCAGGAGAGACCAGGCATGAGCTTCTGATTGTCCTGTCCTACCGAAGTCACTGATTCTCCCCGTAGTGACATGTGACAGCATGCTCAGAGTACGGCCAAGCAGGAAGCTCACTCGAGCACTGGTGGCCGGGATGTTGATGGGGGCGTCAGACACATGGGCTTGGCTGACTGTCCAAGTGGCTGCCCCTCGTCTCCTGCCCTTCGTCTCAGCGGTCAAGTTGATATTGAGTGTCCCAAGGCCTCCACCGTAAATCACGTGGTTAGCGTAGACTGGTGTGTTCCAGGCAGAGAACTGTGGGTGCTCTCGAGGTCGGAGGACACTGTCCACAGAAGACGGGTGGCCTGCGGGGTAGGCCGAGGCAGCGGGCAGGGGACCAACAACCTCAGCCACACTTCCTTCTGGACATTTTTATTTTTTCCATGTTTCATTCTTACAAACAGTATTCTAGAGCAGGGATCAGCAAACTTTTCTATAAAAGGCCAGGTAGTAAGTATTTTCAGGTTTGCGGGCCACACCGTCTCTCTTCAAAACCACTCAGCTCTGCGTCCATAGACAGTATGCAAACAAGTGAGTTTGCCTGGGTTCCAATAAAACTTACAATAGATGGTAGGCCAGATTCGGCTTGGAGACTCTGGTTTGCCGACCCCTGCGACAGAAAATATCCTTGTATATATATTTACACACATATATGTATATGGATATATACATATATGTATATATCCATATACATATATGTATATATCCATATACATATATCTGTATACATATATGTGTATATATATATCTTTGTTCATTTGTACAGATAATTCTATGGGACAAACTCCTAGAGGTAGAATTGCTGGATCACGAGTTATGACATCTTTATTTTGAGTAGATACCGTGAACCTACACCAAAAGTTGAACCGATTCCCCCTTTCATCAGCAATGCATGGGAGAGGGTCCTTTGGCAGAGATTTCTCCTCTTAAAACCCCTTTCCCAGGGAAGCAAAGCCTATGTCCCTTTACGGACATGCTTCTGCCTTTTCCGTTGAGCAGAGGAAGAGAGAACATTGTGGCCCCAGGAAAGAAAATCAGATGGGGCCTGACATGGTCTCAGAATGGTGTCTTGCTCTAGATTCGAGGCACACGGCGAAGGGGATGCTGGCGATGTTCTCGTTTAGTGAGCTTAGATTGATGCAGCACAGGGCACATCCCCCCGGGGGGTGGGGGACCAGCCCCACCCTGAGAGAAGGAGATGGGCCTTTGGCAGAGAATGTAAAAAGATTTCAACACACACGCCAAAGTTAGAGTCCAAAGGAAGGTTTATTAGAAAAGGGGTGACACCCCACAGACAGAGTGTGTCTCCTCCTCTCAGACAGAGAGTGAGAGGGAGTAAAGACAGAGGGGACCCCCCCCCCACCGCCTGCAGTGTCGGGGAGTTCAGTTTATATGCCAGTTTTTTAGTTCCCATGAGTTACAGTTAAAAGACTTTGTTTACCGGTTTCCTGTCATATGGACCCACAGTGAGGAAGGGAAGGGTATGTAGCGTGAAAGACCTGCGGGCAGTTCCCAGCCTCAGATCCGGAGGTTCCCGTGGTTTTAGCCGTAGGGAATGACGTTTTTATTTTGTGTGGGGCAGGCACTTTTCCTGTTTCCCCCTCCCGGAGTGGGGAATGGGTTGTCAGCAATCCCAGCCGAAACCTTCCTTTGTTCTGCAGGTGTCCTGTGGCCTGGCTGCTGGGCCGATCAGGTATCACAGTCTCTGAAAGTAGCTTGGCTTAACATTTGAACAGTCTCACCTCCTGCAGACTCGAAAACCTCACATTGCCTACGTGTGGTTCAAAACAGTCCCGAGTGTTAACCTAGTCAAAAAAATGTTTTTCCAAATGCATCAGAGAGCTCCTTAGCAGTTTCCTTTATTAAGAGAGATTCCGAAATTTTTTCTTCTATAAGGGATTTTCATGTCAGTGAGGTCCACCTCTGCCTACTGAGCTCTTTACCGAAGGTACAAAAAATATACACGGTCCAATTTTTGTCCACGGAGCTGACAGGTACGGGGTACTCTTGATTGAGATGGCGTAGCATTTCACTTAGCCTAGTTCACTCTGAGTCTTTTTGGTTGTTAGACAATGGATGGGATTTTTGATTTCCTTTTTCCGCTCCTGCCCCCACCCATTTTTATCAGTTGGAATTCTTGATGTTAGCCCCACGTGGGAGAACAGAGAGGCTCGTTAGCATTCAGGCTCTGTTTGGAGCTGCATATTTTAGCTAGTTTATTTGATCATCGGCTTTCGTCCTGGGATCCAGCCGCCTTTGCTCGGCTCACGCTGGGTGCATCTGTGATGTCTCCCATTCTGGAGTCCTTTATTTATAACACAGACACAGCCTGCTTTCCCAGTAGCAAGATGGCCTGCCTGGACTACC